CATCCCCCAGCCTGGCCTGCCTCATCTCTGCCTTTCTGTCTCCTGCTTACAACAGATGGCTGTGAGTCCCCATTAACACAGAAGTTCCTGTTCTGTCATTTGGACATTTCAACACTTTTTAAATTATAGACGCTTCAGTCTCATTTGATCATGGACTGACACAATCAGAAATGAATAATTCTTTGAAAGACTTTGAGCCCTGCCTTCATCCCGTCCCATAAGAGACTGTGTCCTAGGGAAGGCCAATGGCTAAGCAAAATAATTGCAGTGGACATCATCTTTGTTCTGGTTGTATAGCCCCCCTTTTCCCCCCCTAGTTGTTGCTTTAGGTTTTGTTTGGCTATTGTTATTTGCATGTATTTTTGCTGTGCTGGAGATGAGGTTCAGGGCGTCACACATGCTAGGCAAGCTTTCTACCACTGACCTACACCCTCGGCTTTGCTTTTTTTTTTTTTTTTTTTTTTTTTTTTGTCTTTTAAGACAGGGTCTCACCGCGCAGTTCAGGCTGGGCTTGAGCTCACTCTGTAGCCCAGGCTAGCCTTGAACTCACAGCCATCCTCCTGCCTTAGTACTGGGATTACAGGCGTGGGCCACTATGCATTTTTTTCACACATGGGTGTGTATGTGTGTGTGGTTCTGTTTTTCTAGTACTGGGGGTTAAACCCAGGGCCTCTGGTCTGAGCTACATCTCCAGCCAGTTAGTATTTATTTATTGAGACAGGGTTTTGCTAAATTGCCCAAGCTGGGCCCAGACAAGCGTTTCTCCTGCCTCAGCTTCCCAGAGCGCTGGAATCACAGGCATGCACCACCACATACACCTCACTGCTTCCCTTTGATGATCAGAATTCACTCATTCCTCTTCCTAACAGCATTCTGGTTTCCTGGTTTTATAAACCAAGGCATGGGCATAGGATCCAGGCTGACCCAACTGGACTCTCATGTCCAGGGCTTTAAATCCTGAGTTTATGACAGAAGAATAGGGAAAGATGCCTGGAGTTCTGGCAAAGACTCCCAGATGAGAGGGCCTGAATCTTCTGGCTACCCAGCAATTCTGTAAGCTCTTGATATGTCCCATAAAGCCCTGGTAGGCAATCCAGTTCTGCTGCTTACCACCCAAATTGATATGGATTCCCAGAAGAGTTCGTGCTAGTCTCGCCCCTGATTGTTTTAGGAGAAAGAAAGGCTCCAACCTCACCCTCCAGGACATTCTGCCTGCTCTTTAGAGACTTCATTAGTTCAACGACCTCACAAGAAGCTCACGTAGGCACAGGGAAAGTCTTCGGGGAATAAAGCAGACAAACTTGTGGCTGGGGTATAAAATAGAGATGTGTGGACTTAGCTAGAAAGTCGTAGTGGAAGTTTTCAGCAAGACCCTCTGAACACCTCACAGGCGCACACATGGACAGGCTCACCTGCCAGCCAGGATCTCGCCTGGGACTGAGTTGTTAATGTAAACTGGGCAGGGTCAGGCTTGAGGACACCCTGGATGAGCAGCATGTTTCCTCCTACTGACATTCCCGACACACAAGTCAGAGTATGATGACTGGGATTACCAAGCAAGTGCTCTTCAGGGCCAGAAGATGTGTTCTATTTACCAGACTTTCCCTCTCCAAGCTGAGCGGTCTAGCTCTCCAGGCCTCTCACCCTTATGGCCTCAGCCCATGGTGACTGGCCCCAGAGAGACAGGATGCAGAGCAAAGCCGGGATCTGGCTGCAGGATGAGGTTTGTCTGCTCCTCCTAGGGCCACCAATCCCTGAGCTTCAGATCTGCCCCAAACCACTCTGATGATTACATCCCTTGCCCAGAATCCCAAGTGTCATTACGCACAACTGAAAAAGCTACCCACACTGCAGAAGAAAGCCCCAGCTCATCATCGGGCATCTACAGTCCCTCCAGTCCCAGCCGGTCTCTCCTCCCTCGCCCCATCAAGGACACACCCAGCCTCCTCTCTGGCCACACCGTGACCCTCAGTGATTCATGACATACCTTCTGCCCCACATCCTGCACCTTCATCCCATCTCCTCTGCCCAGCATTCACCTCCTGCTCTTACCAACACCAAAGCCATTTCCTGGGAGACTGCTGGGGAACTCAATCCCTTATGGGCAGAGGTAAGTCTCACTCGGCCTAAGCCGGGGTTTCCCCAGGGTGTCCAAGCGCAAGGTGGGAGTCTACTTTGCTTCCTGAAAACATGATGAGACTCGTGGATACCAATATCTGTGTGCAGAACTGACAGGAATGAGGTTTATCTTTCTTTTTTTCAGCACTGGGATTGAGCCCAGGAGCACCCCATCATGAAGCCACATCTTCAGGCCTTTTCATTTTGACACAGCATCTCTCTCATTAAATTGCCCAGGCTAAACTTGAACTTGCCATCCTCCTGCCTCAGCCCCCAGGTAGCTGGGATTACAGGTAAAGCCCAGCTTTCCGATCTTCCTCCCCAGCCACTGCACTTGGGTAGGGAAGGCACAGGATGAATATTCTGACTCCTAGGCAGCCCTTACCCATGTTCTGGGACCTGAGACTCACAGCCCAGCACCTCCCAACCCGGGCTTGCTAGGTGAGAGATTCAGTTACTGAACTGTGCTTCTGTGACTCTAGACCCAGCCTGAAAATCACACGGGCCTGCGGTGGAAAAGCCACCTCTGAATCACCTTTGGGAAACATGCTGCTCATCCAGCTGGAGCAGTGGCAGCACTGAGGGAACTAAGAGGTAGCTCCAATCCCACCATCAGTGAATGCCAGGAGAGTCCATGGCATCCTGCCTGCAGCCCAGACTGACCGCCACACTCTCAGGGAAAGCCAACTGACCTCCTCAGTGCATTCTTGGTAACTCCAGGGTGGCCTGTTTCATAAACTCCAGGGTCAGGTCATGGATCAAGGGCTGGTCAACCAGGTGATGCCCACTGCCAAGGGAGGGCTGACTGGGGGGCAAGTGTGGGCTGAGATGCACAGTCCAGCTTTGCTCTGGTCTGTCCCAGCCAAAGAGGGGCAAGGAGGACACTCTGGGCAGCAGGAATTGGACTGCTGGTGAGGGTCAGGGGCTCTACGGGCGTCCAGGCCCCCGCTCTACCCACAGCTGCTGGAGGCTAGCACAGCCTGGCACAGTGGAGGTAGCAGTCAGAAAATAAGCAAGTGACCCACTGGCTGAGCTCCAGGGGAGGGGACAGAAGCTCAGCCTCCTGGGTGGACGGAACATGCCTCCCCACGGCTGCTCGCCTGGAAGCTGTCGATCTCTGGCGGGCCTGCTGAGCCCAGCTGCTCAGAACTCTGTGGCAAGTGTGGGTGGGTCCCACCGAGCTGGGGGGGGGTGAGAATGTGGGGGGAGCAGAGGGAGCACAGAACACAGGACAGCCAGTATGTGTGCACAGTCCTGAGAGTCTCCCCTCACGACCTGCGCACAGCTGCCCTGCATCTGTGTAGGCATGGGTGCTCCTTCCAGTGGTTCTCTGGCACTCGGAACCACACTCCCACACCAGCAGCCGAATGAAAACCCACCTCCAAGGCCCCCTTTTATTCAGATGAAGAATTCACACAAATACCCTGTGCCCTCACGGCTTTGCAGACTGGGGAGGCCAGGTCAAGGTGAGAGTGGTGGCTGGGATGCCCATGGACCCAAGCTGCCTCCTCGGTTTCCCCATTGCAGGGGCCACTCTGCACCCTCAGGCTGCCCACTTCTACCACTCTCCTGCCCCTTCCTGCACAGATGCCTTAAGGCTAGAATTACAGGATTGTCTGGGGTCTGAATCCCAAGGGCTTTGTCCTGACCATGATTTAACGGGGGCCACTGGCGCCAGGGTGCACACCTAGGCCGGGGGCACAGACACAAGTGCAGGCCCTGACCTCCCTCGGCAGGCACTGACAACTCAATCCCAGCCCTCAGGCCCCGCCGGCTCTCTAGTAGGAGCGAAGAAGTAGCAGGTGCAGGTCAGCTAGGGCCCCTGAGTCACAGCTAAAGGTGGGCCGAGGCACTGCCAGTGTGCAGCCAACAGGAGACACAGGGGCAGGGGCCTCCTCACTGCAGGGCAGGGCCTCACGGGTCCTCTGCGGAGGGGCTGGCGTTGGGAAGCAGGCCTTGGTGCTCCCTGTCCTCGCTATCCACATCTTTGCCATCCAGGGCCCCTGTGGGAGGAAAAAAAGCTCCTATCTTCAAGCCCCTAAGGAGGCAGAAGGGATTCTGGGACAGCCTGGGTGCCATCTATCAGGAAATTCTCTCGGTCCTATTAGCAAAATAATTCCAGCTCCTCTCACTGCCTTCAGGGCTCCCCCTGTGTGCTGTCACTGAGTAGTTCCAGTGCCTGATGACCTCTGGGCCCCCGGCGCCGTGCTATTGTCTGCTTTCAACACAGCAGCAGGGCAGTGCCTTCCCAGTGCAGTCAGACCCCATGAGGCTCTTCCCTTCTCACTCTGCTATAAGGATGAGGTCCTTACAAGGAGTCCCCAGCACCCGGTGTTCTGCCCTGTCCAGCTATCCTCATGCTTAGCACCATTCCTCTTACCCCTATCCCAGCCACACTGGGCTCTGTTGGTCCCCAACACAGCAGGTATGTCACACCTCAGGGCCTTTGCACCAGCTGTTCTCACTGCCAACGGCACCTTCCACCAGGTAACTGCCTGGCTTTCTCCTTCCCTTCCTCCAGACTTTGCCCCATGTACACTTACGCAGTGAGAGCTCCCTGGCCACTCTGGCCACCGTTGGAACCCTCGCCAGTCCCTCTCTATCCCCTTTCCTGCTAAATGTCTCTATGGTCATTATCCCCTGTGTGCATTCTCTCACTTTTTCTTTTTGGTCTGTCTCCACCCACTAGAGTGGCAGCTCTGTGAGGGTTCAGATTTCACTTAATTGGGTCACTTCCTGGCATCCACAGCCCTGCCTGGCATACAGCTGAGTGTGATGCATATTTTCCAGTGAATGAAATAAATAAGCTGGCCATGGGCTCAGGCTCAAGGCAGCCAGTACCCCTGCCTCTAGATACACGTAGATGTGAGCTGCAGGATTACCTGTGCCAGGCTGCTGGGCCTGGGCCTGGTCTCCCTCCAGGTACAGTGCGGTCAGCAGGAAGCAGCCGCCACCCAGGACAATGACGAAGGCGCAGCACAGGAAACTCTGCTGCAGGCTGAGGAAGCGCTGGAGGTAGGAGTCAGGGCGCCTGGCCCGCAGGGCACTGGAGAGCTGCCAAGGAGAGACCCATGTCTGCCAAGCCCCCAGGCCATCCCCTGGCCTCCCCACCCCCCACTCGGACAGCCTTACAAGTCCGGTGAGATAGGGGCTGCTGGCGTCTCCCAGGATGTGGCCCACTGTGATCTGAAGCGCCTCTGCTGTCCCCCGGCACCTGGGCGCCACCACCGACTGCAAAACACAGGAGCCCCAGGGAGCTCCCCGGTGAGGGCAGAGTGGATGCCCCTCATACTCAGCCCTGTCCCCACCTCCTGAGGACCTGCCTGGGACTGTGACAGGCTGACCAGGCAACTGGGACGGGGAGAAATAACGACCCTCAGGGCCAGACGTCAGGTCCCCCTGAGACCCCTGCCCAGGGATGAGCGTGCCAAGGTGCTTCTCAGGGCACCACACTTCACAGTCTGACCTTGAACTGGGCAGGGACCAAGCATGGCAATGACAGCCCCAGCTCAGGGACTGAAAGGCACCTACGTGCACCGGCATTTAGAGCATGGAGAACTCGATCATCTCAGGAACTTCAAGTCCCATTGCATAGAGACCAAAGGGAGCCATGCTGTGGAGGCCCACACAGTTCCATGGAGGGGAGAGCGAATTCTCAGCTGGAAGTAGCACTTGCCAAGCTCCTCTGGGGCCCTGGATTCCAGCCCCAGTAGCTTAGTATCTCCAAATAACGCTAGAGTGGATCTGTGTTCCCAATCCCGGATACCCTACCCATGAGCACGGGGCTTCGTGCTTCCGTGCCTTAGTTTCTTCATCCTCAAGTGGAGATAATAACAGTACCTCCCTCAACATGAGTCAGCTGGCACCCAGACGCCAGGTGGACCCCGTGCTGAAATGAAACTCCAAAGCAGGATCATGGGGCACCTGAACCGGCCAGGCCCCCTGCCCCGCCTGCTTTCCCCTCTTTGATCAGCTCGCTTTGTCACCTAGGGCTTCCCTGTGGTCCCCTCCTCTGCAAAGCCCTTTCAGAGTTCAGAGCCCGCCCGAGCACCACAGTCTCCACACACGCCCCTAGCTGAGCGCACATCACCCAGAACTGTTAGCCTCCCCTTATCGCCCGCACTGTTTGGCAGCAGTGCCCCTAATTTCTTTGGGGTCCCTACAGTAGAACAAGGTATGAGGCACAGAGGGGACTAGTGAAAGTCTTCCAATAAGCATGTTCAAGTAGAAACTTCTAGAAGACGGATCGAAGGAGAAACCTTGCCAGGCTCGGGGCTTGTGCCCCCAAGGGGAACGGCCTGCCATACCACCTTGTCTCAAGACCTCGGTGCCCGTGACCTGAGCCACGCCGAGAATAAGAGCAGCTATGATGATGATGATGACTCCTAACGATTATTGAATGCTTCCTTCTGCATTTTACATATCAGCTTAACCCATGAGGGAGAAGAATTGTTATCTGAGTTTTATAGACAAGAAAACCTCCGCAGAGCAGGGAAGTGACTTTCCCAGGGTCCTCCATCGGTATCCCTGGCCTTCTGATCACTCTGTGGTGATGCGTGAGGAGGTGCTGACGTTTACATTTGTGTTTGTTGTAGAAGGTTTAGAAAATGGAAAAAAAACTAAAGCGGAAAAATCCATCAGTCTCCCTGCAAGTGGGCAGGAAAGGACTCAGAACATGGCTGAGAGTTGGGCGAAGGGTGCTCCAGGCAGGGGACAGTGGTGATCAAAGTGTATAAGAGGAGCCCAAAGGGACAGTCGCTGGATTCCAGAGCCACAGAGGCCAGATGCAGAGGTCTGGTGAGAGGGGGCCTTGTGAGTGGTAAGGCCCAGTGGCAGGGTCCCTGTGGGTGACCAGCCAGCCCCAGGGTCACTGGCACTGAGCCACCCTGTCCAGGTGGTGAGAGAAGCTGGCCTCCAACCATGGCAGGACCTGCCCGAGGCTGAGAAGGAACAGACTGCAGCTTTGCACCTTCCCCAGGACTTCCCTCTCACCCCATAATTATGTGATTACTCACGGGAGGTTCTGGGGAGAATGCAAAGCTTCCTAGAGTGAGGCCCTAGACCATCCAAAAAGGTTCCTGTGGGGGCTGGGGCTGCTTGGACCCTCAGAATAAGATCCAAGCCACCCGTCCCTTCCTCTCCTCCTGGAAACCTGAACCTGCTAGGACCAGAGCAGCCACTGTGCCAGACCAGCAATGGGAAGGCAGGTCTTCTCCCACACCAGGCTGGCTGTTCTGGGTCCCCTTGTTATCTTCACACAGCCAGGAGCTAAGGCTGGGCCCACCTGCACCTGGAGAGCCCAGGGGGTAATTTTAGAAATGAAAGGCTTTTGGAGTCCCAAAAACTCCAGGCTCACTGTAGTCCGAGACAAACCGCCTCTGTTTTAGGCTCACCCGTCTCAGAAACCTGTTCCCAAATTAAAAAACAAAAAAGAAACCTGTTCCCTTTATAGCTCAGGACAAAATCAGCGCTGGCCAGAGCTCTGCAGAGAGCTGGATAGGTGACCACCAGGTGCAGACTCCCCGCTGGCAGCTAGCTGCCTCCTGCACTCTCCACTTGGCCCTGGAGCCCACAAATCCCTGGGAGAGAGACAGACCTTGAGCTGACAGCTACCTGGAGGGTGGCACTGAGCAAGGAAGCAGCGCTGAGGCTGGGGAGAGGGAGGAGCCCCCAGTTTGGGGTCGGAAAATGTGCTGAGGAGGTGGGAGGGGGCCAGGCTGGAAGGGAGGCAATGAACAATTTCCACGCTATTCTCCATGCCAGGAAGTGGGTGAGCAGGCTGTGGGTCATCCTGGGTGGGGTTAGGAGGAAGCTGGAAACCTGGTGAGTGGGTTTGGTGAGCAGAAAAGTCAACCTGGGGAGAAGCAGGCTCCAGAGACAACATCCAGGCCTCCCTGAGTGGGACCCTCAGAGGCTGGCCAGCCCGAAGGAAGCTGCCCGAGGTGGGTATTGCCTGTGACTGTGGCCCCTAGGAGGCAGGGGCTGCCAGGGATCAGAAAGTGTGCTCCCCACAGAGGGAAGAGGATATGGGCAGAGGATGGCGGGAATCTTACAAAGCCTTGGTGGAGGGGGAGTTGGAGTGGGCTGGGCCAGTGTCTCCAGTGTGCTCTGAGGAATACAGCACAGGATCCCTGCAGATGTCCATCAGAAATGCAGGTCCATCCACCCCTCGGCCCACTGAATCAGTCTGAGGACACAGGGCCTGGAACAGTAATGGACTCCTCCAAACTCAATTCTTACGCAGAATGAAGTTTGGGAGCCACCAGACCCAGAGGCCCTGCTCAGAGTGTCTGCATTCTCCCTCAGCGGGTTAGGCTCAAAGAGAGCAGCGGCCTAAGGCAGACCAGCCTGGGCTGGAAGGCCACGTGCCCCTCAGCCCCAGGCAGAGTAGGCCTAACGCATTTCCTTCCTCAGGCCAAGAGGGTAACTGAGAGGTACCACCACCCTGTAATCTGCTGTACAGCGGCACGAAACAGGCCCGGAGAGGTCCCAGAGCTAGTCAAGGACCAGGCTGGGAGTGCAGGCAGAGGATCTCTGCAGAGGCTTCAGGCCTGGGCTCTGTTGGCTTTGCCTCTTCAAACCTCCTGCAGATTGTGGCCCAGTCTCCACTCCTGCTTTCCCCTCACCCTCTCTTAGCTTCCTCTCTAGCCCAGAACCCTCTGCCTGCATATGCAGGCCCTCAGCTCCCCGCCCGTTCATTCCTAACCCACTGCACGTACACCCTGAGGCCTCCTGGCTCCCCCAGGTCCCTGCCCAAAGAGAGTCCCACTTCCAGCCTCAGAGCAGGTACAGGTGGCCTTGCCTAGACCCCTTCCCCTTGCTGCTCCCCACATGCCTGGGCCACCTCTGTCCACACCTCCACCCTCTTCCCTCTCTGGCCACCTCTCTTATGCTTTCTGTTTGTTTGGTCAGTTGGTTGGTTTGGGTGAGGTTTGTTTTGTATGTGTGGTGTTGTGACGCTGGCCACTAAACCCAGGGCCTTGCACAAACTGGGCAAGCACTTTACCATGGAGCCAACCCCCTGCCCCTGTTAGTTGTTGTTTTGTTTTGTTTGCTTTTTGCTTTTAAGACATTGTCTGTCTACATTGTACACATTGTACAAACTAGCGTCAAACTTTCCATCCTCCTGGGGTGTGGTAGTGCATGTCTGGAATCTCAGCACTCTGGAAGGCTGAGGCAGGGGGATCAATAGCTCAAGGCCAGCCTGACTAGTTTAGCAATTTACTAAGATCCTGTCTCAAAATTTAGAAAAAATAAACCCAGCTGGGAATGTCGCTGAGTGTAAAAGGCCCTAGGTTCTATCCCAGTACTAGAAAAGAAAAAAACAAAACAAAACAAAAAAACAGTTCCATTCTCCTGCCTCAGCCTCCTGAGTAGCTGGGATTGCAGATATGTAACAGTTTACCCAGCTCTGGCCACCTCTTGAAAGGCTGGCTTCCTAGGGTCTTCTGCCTCCTCCATTCTGTCACTCATATCCCTCTACTGCACAGACAAGGTCACTCACAGCCTGCCTGTGGCCTGCACAGGTCCTAAGACCACTGTCTCCCACGCCTCTGCCAAGGAATCAGTAACAGAGGTCATTGAACTCCCAGGGCTGCTAGAACCAACCCAGTCCCCCGACACACACACCTAAACACAGTAAACACAGAGAGGTGGTCGGCAGCCACAGGCTCCCAGGAGGTGGGAAGGCTAGAAAGGGACAGGAAGTCACTGGTGGCTACCCCTGAGGTCTCCAAGCCAGGGAAGAATGAATGGCAAGCAGCTGGGACACCAACCCCCTACAGGTCAGACTCCAGCTGGCCAACCCCTCACCCCCACCTTCCCACTTCAGTCCTACAAAGAGCCTGGGTCTGCAGGTTAATCATTGCTCTGACACAGACACTGAGGTGCACCACGCAGTCCTCACATACCTGTGGGGCTGGCATGTGTTCCACGCTGTGGGGGGCAAGGGCAGGAAGCTGCGGGGGGCATACCTGCTCTGTCTGTCCTGCCAAGCTACATCGGGGTGGGGACGTTCACCCCCTGTGCCCAGGATACTTTCTTGCACTCGGTCCCATGCAGGTTGTGATTACCCTTTTTATAGACCAGGAAACTGAGACCCAAGGCTATGTGACAGGGCTGTAGCTAAGTCCCGGGCTGGAGCCAAAGTCACGGTCAGGAGGGAGAGGCCAGAGAAGGCAGCCAGCCCTGTAGCTGATTCCCACTGGGAGCCAAGGCCAGGCAGCCCTCTCCACGCTGGCTGAACCTGGGCCACGGGGAGGGGGCACAGCTTTGGCAAGGTGCAAGCCTCTGCTCAGCAGTAGGATTCAAGAAGGCCTTGTTGACTGAACAACCACACCTTCCCATAGCCTTTCATGATTGGGTTTCAGGACGCAGGGTTTCTCTGGGGGCCAGGACCTGGGAATTTCTAGAATCCTAGGCTGCATCCTCTTCCGGGTGATGGGCAAACACTTCACATCATCCTCACCACGATCTCACTTCCCTGTCACGACAGTCTGCGAGGCGGTCGTACTATCCCCTCCATGTGGGAAACTGAGGCTCAGAGACACAAAGCTATGTGCCTAGAGTCACACATCGAGTACAGAAGCAGAGCTGAAGCCGGATCTGTTTCCTGACCCCGGCCTGAGTCCCTGCACTGCCAGTGCCTGGTAGTCCTGGCACCCTGGTTCCAGGTGGGACGGTGCCACCAGGGGGACACAGGAGGACGCGAGGTGCTCCCGGGCTTGCAGGGTGAGCTTGTGCTATCAAGCCCAGAGCTGTTCTCTTTGCTCAAAGTCTATCCCCACACAGGTCCCAGAAGCAGGCAGGGAGGTCAGACAGCGTGAGGCTCAGGGAGGGGCCGAGCTGGACTCTGGATGTAGTGGTCATGTGGTCAGGAGAGCCTGAGCCAGGTCCTGGCACAACAGCCCCAGCTATGTGTTGAGATGGACACAGCTGGGCTTAGTGGCCACTGCCCTGAAGTCCAGTGCCCCATCTGCACACCCGAGTGCAGGCTTGCTGAGAAGCAGCATGGTAAAGAAGGAGCAAAGGACAGGTCTAGTGTTGGCACAAAGCCTTGGCACTGTGTGACCACGGCCCTGGTACCTGCCTTCTCTGAGCTCCTATCTGCTCATCTGCAAAATGGGAGTGACAGTCAATGGAGATATGAGTGTCAGGGGCCATGTGGTCCTAGCAGCTGTGAGTGGCCTTGGTCCCCTAACCCATGGCCTCTCCAACAGCAAAGGGCCAACCCTGGGTGGAGAGAACCAGCTTCCCACCGCCCAAGAAGGCCCGGGACCTGCTCTTACCACACCCCACACCTACCAGCAGGATGTCAGCCACCACTGCCCAGTTGCAAGACAGAAGCAGCTCCCCCAGAGCCAGGAACACCTGCAGAGAAAGGACAGCAGGTGAGGCTCCCACAGTGTCTCTCCCCACCTGTTCACTGGAGAAACTGAGGCTCCACAAAGAAGGCAGCGCCAAGACGGACTGAGAGGGTCATGGTCTGGAACTGGTTTTCCAGTTCTTACAGTTCCAAGGGTGGGTACACAGTCCCTGAGGGCCTGGCCGGTGGCCATGACCCAGAGGTGAACAGCAGGCCCCAGTCCTGAGAAGTGCACTCTTCCTAAGGGACAGTCCTGGGACCCAGCTCATGAGGTCACCCATGGGCCCCAGAGGAGGTGACCAGGACTCCCTCCCAATGTACTTTTAAGTTAGAGGAAATACTCTTTAAGAGAAAAGTCAAAGGACTGAACAGAGCGTGCTCACACCTTACCCATTACCTTTTGAAGCCTGTGCATAGTAAGGCACCTACTGTGTGTATGCCAGCCAGTCTGGCCTGGGCACCCCATCATGGCCTCTCCTAGGCCATCCTTGCCCTAGAGCTGTACAGGGTTAGTACAGCCATGGTGCATGGAAACCGGCAACCTAGGGAAACAACCTAGCCAAGGCCAAAGCTTGTCTGAGGTAACCAGCTGGCCCAAGGCAAAGCCAGCCGGCCATTCAAGGCTCCCGGCCCCTCTCCAGGGCCCACTCCCGCCTTGCCCTGATGTTCTCTGATGACCACAGGCAACTGTGGGCCAGTCTAACCCAGTTCCCTGAAACTCCCACCTCGTGCCAAGGGATTAAGACAATCCTCCTTCCCCTCACTCAAGAACAGTTTAATGAAGCAGCAAGAAGAGAAGAAAGTCTCATTTCTCAGGGCTCCCAAGAGCTTATCGATGGGGTGGAATTAGTCATTCTTGGAGTCACGGGGCTATACCCTGGGCAGGAGGCTTAGGCACTCAAAGGCCTGATGCTCAGAAACCTGTGGGCACAAGGGGAGAGGACCGAAGGACCACCGGCCAAACACCTGCTGTGCATGGCCACTCTTCTGCCTTCCAGGTGACCTGATAAGTTACCTGTCACTACACTCATGTCACAGACCGGGGAAGCCAGGCTCAAGGTTACACAGCAAGCCCATCCTGGAGAGTCAGTCCCTCACCCCTGTGGCCTGTACACAGTGAGGATGAGGAGGCCTTTGGCAAAGAGTTCAGAGGCCTCCAGGGGCCACAGTGCCCATTGAAACTGGTTCAGGAGAACCAGGCAGGAAGGAGGTGGCCCTGAGCAGAGCCCTGAAGGGCAGTCAGGACCAAGACGGCTGAGAAGAGCTGCAGGGCCACCAAGGCAGAAGACCCCATGAGCAGAGGCTCAGCTGGAATGTACCCTCCACGCTGCACCGGGCAGCAGTACCGGCAGGCACTGGTAAGGCCTGGGTGGAAGAGATCAAGGGAGTTGGACATTCTCTGACTCTAACCAGATTTCATGTGGCCGCAGCCCCTGCCCATGGCACACAAATGGGAGAGCCTGAGGGCACAGTGGGCCTAACAGGAGCTCAGGACATGGGGTGGGCACCCACAGAAGAAGGTATGAGGAAGCTGCTAGCTGGCTGTTTTCAGGCGAGGCCCAGCCAGGCCACAGGCCACATTCTGGCTTGAAGGAATCTACCAACTGGCCTCCCGGGGACACATGAAAGCAGGCCCGCTCACATCCACCCTTCTCCTCTTCCCCTTGGGCCACCGGCCTCTCCTCCCTTCTTCCCACATGCCAGCCGCCTGGCTGCACCCCATCCCACCACCCCGTTCAGACACAGCACTCTCAGCCACACAGCCAGAGGCTTTGTAACCCCTCTTTTGGTCTCTCCCCCACACCGACCACACCCACAGGACATACTAAAATACACCTTTTCCTTCCTCCAGCTGGTGCAGGGTGGATCCTGATCCCAAAAAAGCCGATTAGAGGGAGGCAAGCAGCCACAATGGGGCTTTTCAGGGCGAACCACCCGAGGACGCCAGGTTTCCTCAGACACACCTGGAAACTGACACCACGCTGCCAAATCCTGGGCTCCGCTCTGTGGCTTTGAGGGGCGAAGGGCTGACTGGGAGAGACAGCCTGCTAATCCCTTAATTACTGAGACTCGCCAGCCACAGCCCAGCCACCAAGGCTCGGGGAGGGTCTCTGTGCAGAGGACACACCCCAGATCCACCTGTCTGCAGAGGCACCCAGGGGAGCTCCCTGCCTCTGGACCTTGACTCCCCCAGCTGCACAGTGATGGGGAAATCCAGATGCCTAGCAGGCCTCCTGAGGCATGGACACCCAGCCCCTGAAGTTGGTGGTTGAGTCCCCTCAGGCAGCTCACAGATCAGGTCCCTAGTTCAGTGGCTTACATGACTGGTTCAGACTTGGTTTCCTCAATTAAAAAAACAAAGCCAACAAACAAAAGGCCCCCAGTTTGAAGAAGTTCATGCCTCTTCAAACCACTCTCTCATGGATACCTCAGCCCTGCAAGTCCAGACCCTCCTGGACAGCTACAAGGCACAGCGCCTGTGTGGGGCTCTCCCCTCTTCCAGCCTCCCTAGGTGGCTGACCAGCCAGGATGCAGGCACAGTAGCCCAAGCCCAAACCAAAGACTCGGGGAGAACCGAGGCCAGACGCTGCAGGGTGATGGGACATCCCTCTCTCACCCTCACACCCCGCCATCGCTGCTCCTGCCCATTCCGCATCCTCACTGTCCCTCAGAGCTGCCCCTGCCTCCCATCCACTGCTGTGGGCCTCCCCGTCTCTTGCCTCTTCTCCGGTTTCCCAGGCTCTGCCAGCCCCACAGGGGACTTCCAAAAGGGAAATCAGACTTGGCTCTCCCGCCCCATCTCAGTCCCTGCTGGACAACAGGGCCTGGAGCCCAAGAAAACGGCCTGGGAGCCCCGGCCCCTGCCATTCCAAACTCAGAGGGCTTCCCCTTTGTGCTGGGGCAGCAACCATGAAAATCCCTGGGTGAGTCATCCCTGGACAAGGAGGTTCACACACACATACACCCATGCGTATGTTTACACGGTCACACGCGCACCCATGCTCACACGCATGCAGCCACAAAGCATGCACAGACAATGCACGTGCAACGTGTGCAAAGGCTCACACATGCACACAAGCTTCAGCTCATACCTGCATATACACACAAACACTCGTAGCCTGGGAGCCACATGCAAACCATACAACACAAGTCCACACGTATGTAGGTACCAGGGATGACATGCAAACAAACATGCAATGCCATTCACTGCACTGCACGCCTATAGTCCCTGCTATCAGGAGGCTGAGACAGGAGGATTTCCACAAGTTAGAGGACAGCCTGGGCCACACAGTGAGACATCATTTAGGAAAAAAAAAAAAAAAAGCATTGAGGCCAGGACATGAATCAAAGAAATGATGGCACCAGGCTTGTGGAGTGCACTTGCCAAAGAACAGCCTGGCATACCCCCAGGTGTGGCCTCATGAAAGGCATGACAAGTTACACAAACACACTATGCCCTCGTGTTGATGCACGCGGCTCTACACACACAGCTGTGCTTGTAGACCTCTGCACACAGAAGCAGGCGTGGGGAAGCAGCAAGGAGGTGAGATGGAGCCCTGCCGGTGAAGGTCAGTCCAGGGGCTGGAAGGCCAGTGTCCTCAACCTTAGTCCAGCTCAGCTTCCTCCAGGACAGTACCTGATCTCTGAGCTACAAGGACAGACTCCAGCCCCTGCCAAGAAGGAAGAAAGCCAATGCCCCCTGTGCACTCATGATACCAGAGCAAACCAAAGACTCAGGCCTCCTCCCATCAGGCATCCACTCCTTGCCCAGCACAACTGAGCCAGTCAGGACACAGGCCCCAGGGCACAGACTGGCAGCCAGCAAGCTGCCATGCTGGCTGGCATGCTTTGCCCTAGGCTTGCCAATCTGTAATTGCAGGGCCTGGCATCAGGGCACAGGGGCACTGCTTGTTTCCAGGGACCAGCGGCAGCCCATCAGCCTGGTAGACGAGCAGCGGGGAGTCACACAGTGAAGGAGAAAAGTTCTAGTATCCTCCCTGGGAATTGTGGCTCTCTTGGAAGATGGGCTGCCCACGTAAGACCCTGATGGGTCCTGGCAGGGAAGTCAGGCCTCACAGCAATGGCGGGAAGGGAAAGGGGCCCTTGGAAGCAGCCCCTGGGAAGACCCAATGACTTCAGCCCAAAAAGCAAGAAAGAAGGGAGCACACATCCTTGAAAGCTCCCCACCAGGGCCACATCTACAAAGTGACAACAGCCAGGTGTGGGGGTGCACACCTGTAATCCCACTACACAGGAGGCTGAGACAGGAGGATTGTTGAGAGTTACGGTTCAGTCTGGGCCACACAGTGAGTTCAAGGCCAGCCTGGATTACATAGTGAAACCCTATCTCAACACCCTCCTTCCCCCTAAAAATGAAAGTGACATCAGCGCTTCTCAGAGCTGGGCATTTGCACAGCTCAGCTGTCAGAGGAGCAGCCAGGACAAGGGAGCAGATCCCATGGCCATATCCAAATCCCCAGCTGACCCTTGATTGCATCTATGGTACGCACACATCCCAGCTGGTCCCTATCAAGCACCTCACAAACTCCTCTGGGGGTGGAAACCAGGACACTAACCTACATCTTTGCTCCAGAGTCTTCCAGAGAAAGGTGGGGAGGACTGAGAAGGGTGAAGTCCCCTCCTGGATGTCAAGGCCTTGGTGACAGCTGTGCTGGCTCTGCCCTGAGCGCTGGCGACTCCGTCACCTTGGACAGGGAGGGAATTCAGAGTCATGCAAGTCTCCCTCCGGAGTAAAGGTACAGGACAGAACCTGCATCACAGACTTCCCTTCTCTCCAGAAGCAAAAACAGTAAGGGGATGAGAAAAATTTTCACCAGAGTAAAGGATAAAATCTAATGAGATATATATCATCTGCTGGTATTCAGGCAAAAAGGCAGAGGGTTCCACAGCATGGTCCTTCCTCTCGGGTCCCACTCCCCAAAGCCACTCAACAAAACCTGCCCAGCCGGGAGGAATAAACCGAGTAACTGTCCTCAATGACAAA